TGAGCAAAGAACAGAACAGTCATCTATACATCTACACTAGAGTAGTGGCCCGAGATTGGTCACCGGCGGTTCCACCTTAGACATAAACGCAATGTTAAGACTTGGTGCCAGTCGTTGTCCCATTGCCAACCCTCTTATTTAAGCGTAGTACTTTCTGGATCATCTGAAGATTGAGCAGCTCAAGTATTCTTTTAAGAGTGGTATAGTTTATCTGATCTCCTGTAAGGCTTGCGGAGATGAATATATTGGCGAAAAGGGCAGACCCCTCTGTATCCGCATAAGGAACATCTAGTCGGTAAACGTAAACCAAACACCTCACTGGGCAAACACAGGACGGAGAGACATAGCGAGGAAGACTTTGAAGTACCGGTCATGATCCTTGCACAGGAATCGAGAACACAAGCGCGCAAAACCCTCGAGGCGTTCTGGATTAATTTCAAAAATTCGAAAATGAACTGCAGGGAAGAATGCCTCATTATCACGCGTGATATTGGGCAGTTTATAAGACTGTTATTCTGGTGGGAGGAACACGTTATGCTTCAATGTGAATTTTGTGCGGTTGGTCTTCACGCGATATACTCAGTGGAAGCCTCATAGAAAGCGGTGAGTGTTCAAAGCTGTGTTCAGTGTGATTGAAATCTTGGTTTAGCGTTTTCCCTGTTTAGTTAGGGAGGTGCTTGGCCAAATAGGTTGCTGTGAACTTGACCTTTCCAGGCTCTGAGAAAGACCAAGTCCGCCGAAACGTCAGCTAATTCGTGAATAAAGAATAAAAGTAACAACTCGCGTTTGCTCAACAAGAATACGAAGAATTACTGTTCGATCTGTTCTAACGAGAGAGACGGGGATTGCATGAGTTCAGGTATAATATACTTGATCTCATGTAACGCATGCGGTGAGGAATATATTGGGGAAACAGGTAGACCACTTTGTGTCCGCATAAGAGAACATCTAGATGGAAAAGCTAAAATCCGTCTAAACACCCCTCTAGGTACGCATAGGGCACAAAAGCACAACGGCGATGATTTTGAAGTGAATGTGCGGATCCTAGCGCAGGAATCAAAAACATCAACGCGCAAAACTCTTGAGGCGTTTTAGATAAATTTCAAAAATCCAAAGATGAACCGGAAAGACGAATGCCTCACTATCAAGTGTGACCTGGCGCCCAATTGCTTCGATCATAGTAGCGTACGAGCCAGTAAAGAAATGTAAGATGTCACATATGTATGCGCAGATATGTTTTACTCCTTATTTCATTTTTATATGGATCGTCTCCACATCTACTGTGCGTATCTAATCACCTCCGTCTTATTCGTTTGCTCTAATTCACATTCTATGAAGCTCTTTGAATTCCCATGTGAGTTCGGATACTGTCTGGGAACCTTTGGTGCTCTTTATGAATGTCGTTGAATGCGGTATTCTCGCCACCCGAAAGCCAAGTCTGTGATAGCAGTATTGGGGTGTTTCTAGATGTCATTGACTGGAGGAAACTTCCCAAAAAAAAATCTAGTGCCAATTTCTCGTCTCCGGAAGGATGGAAAGCTTGGGTGGTCTGGAATGGGTTGAACAAGGGCCTTGTGCACGTAGAAAGGAAACACTGCGCCAGCTTTGTTCCACATACATCCCGTAATTTACCAAGGTTGCATGCCTTTTAATCACGTAGCTACAGAAAAGTTTCAGCCCATGTGAAGTTGTTTAGTAAATAGTTTCGGTTTAACTTTATTACACTTAGACCCTGGCTACCTAAGAAAATGCTTCGCTTTGTGTCTTTTCCATTTTGAAGCAAGCATTTCGCTGAACATCTTTTGTTGTCTCAGTTTATAAAATAATTTATTTGGATATGAAGCTATTAAAATAAAATAGAACAGACCACATATAAACATAGTGGGTGCCAACACTGCATTTCATCATAGAACCGCCATTATATCTTTCTTTTCTGGAGTTTCTAGTTTTATCTTTTTATTTTGTTTTTATTTTCTATTTTTAATTTAAAAAAGCTATTTTTGAAGTTTCGCATGAGTGCCAGTCGAAACGAAGATAGGTCGGAACGCTCTAAAACAATTTTCTCCGGTTCCAAGCATGAATCACATTCAGCCAGCAGAAGATGACTGAATCCTCAACTATTAGCCAAACTTCAAAGACTCTAATAGCTTGCGGTTACAAGGCATCAGACCGAATGAAAGAAGTGCGGGAATTCCAACAGTATAAGAAGGGCGGTGATACAAATAAACAATACAGAAGCCTTTGCATCTAAGTGAAAACGAAAACTGAAGGTAACTGGGTGCTATATGAGTAGGTTAGAAAGCGATGAAGCCGTCGTTGTGAAACGTTGCTTACACTTCTTCTGCGGTAGAAAAGCGTTCTGTTTCTTAATTACACTCCTACATGATCGCATAATACCCTGACGTGAAAAATTGTAGTACTACAGTACGTGTGATCGAAAATGATCTCTCTGTGTCAACAGACGACTTTCTACATACGCGTAGATGAAGATGAAACACTGAAACACTTCCCCTAACCAAATTTACACCTAAAGCTGCGGTGACCATTATTAATACTAGTACATGGTGATAACTTTTTATTTACTGTCTGTTACAATTTCTCACGTCAGGTCTTATGTGAAATGCAGCCACAATGATGCTGAGATATTTGCAGAACTCCAGACCTTAGATGATTGCGGGGAGGATCGAACCCGCTACTACCCTTTACAGGGGTTAACTTATAAATATCTCAGCATCATTGTGGTTGCATTTCACATAAAATCCTGCGCTGAAAAACTGTAGTAGGCAGCAAATAAAAAATCAGCAATGTAATTTTGGCTACAACTTCAGCTTAACTGGGTTCAACGCCAATTTGTTTTCCCCAGATCAACCCGTTGAGAGTTGGTTGTTGATGGTACTGTTAGATAGAGGACCAGCTGAGACAAACGAGAGAAGAAGGAGCCACATGGGGTGCTGGTGAACACGTTAGCCCCCAACAGGCCTAACAAAGGGTTCGATCCACACTTCAGACACATGTGAATGGTGTTGACCAATCAAACGAACCAATTTCGTTGCGCAAGACCACGCGTTTGCATAATCAAAATCGTTATCCTTTATAGAAAGAAGATTTTGAACTCGTCCTTATCCACTAACCTCACCGAAAAATAGAGTTCAACTTCTTTAAAGCGCCTATGCAATCTCTTACAGAAGATGTCTAACAAATTACCCGCTAGTGAAAATATTCGTAGAAGATTCTTCGGTACCAGAAGATTGGACTCTCACCGTTCGGCAACGTGAAAAATTTCGTCATATTAGCAAATAGCAATGGGTTATTATAGGTTTTATTTCAATCAACAAATTTTGCAATGAACTGAGATATGTGCACTCAAGGAACAAAAGCCGAAGTTTTTTGCCGAACAACCCAACACTCCAGCAATCATTTTCTTCTGAAATTGTCGCAGAGAGGACACATCACAGTTAAAAAAGAACGATGACAGATTTCTCCGCAACATGCCTCGATCCTGGTAGTGTAAGCGTTAACAATTAAATGAGTAAAATACAACCACTATAACGCTGAGTTATTTGCAAAACTTGGCCTCATCGAACAACGATTACAGTTTCCATGGGCTCACGTGCTACGCACTGCACCACTGAGGCAATTGCGTTGTTTTGCTGCTTGTTTGTTTTCCACCTATCCCGTTGACCGATGATTACTGAAGGTACTGCTAGGTAGAAAACTACCTGAGTGCAAGGCAAAATAAGGGCTAAGTGGTGCAGCTTGTAAGACGTGAGCCCCTGGACAAGGTAATGAAGGTTCGTTCTGGACTGGGGCCAAGTCTTACAAATATCTCAGAATCTTAGTAATTAAATGAGTCAATCCCGCTGTTGGGTGAATGCTGACGGCAAAAGATCGATAGAACTAGCTGAGAGACAGGCGAAACGAAGGACCTGCATGGTGTGGTGGTGAACGCGTTACTCCCCGGAAAGGACAATAACGCGTTCGTTCCCCATCGCAGGCACCTACGGTCCGGAGTTTTGCCAATGGTCTCAACATCATTGAAATTAAATGAGTTTTCCTAGAAGTTCACAATCTGGTGATGGTTTTATTCTTCGTTGACATTTTCCATGGGAACTTTAGGTAAGAACTTGGATTCTTAACCCGTATGCTGAAAGAATCGATTGTACTTACTTAGTTCGATACTTAGACCCGTCCTCACATGCTTCGTTTCGTTTCTCTCGAGGTCCATTCTACTGCTCCTTTCATCTTTTGTTATCCTCTCTTTCTATTATGCGACCTGTCCGTCACTGTTGCTTTCTTCAGCCGTATTCTGTTGAGTCCCAAAGATAGGATACTCTTCGGAGATCTGAGCTACAAAAGCGAGTCTGGAGTTGGACTCTTTTAGAACAGATAAAAGAGTCTGTGTTGGAGATAACTATGAATGGTTTCCATGTTTTTCCCAGTCACTCGATAGCAGTTTTTGACGAAACCGACGTGCAGAACACAAACCGCGCAAGTTAACGTGCATTCATGCGCTCATCTGTTTACGTTCGTAGGGAAAGTACACTTCAATCTAACACGGTAAGAACAGGATTTCACTCTCACCTCAAGCTCGGAACATGCTGTTCTGCTTTATAGGATGCACAGATCATCACTCTAGAAAATACGATGGTGATCTGTGTTTCTTGCCATAGTTCTTGAATATGTACTAAGTCTTAGTGTCAACAAATTTAACAAGTGTGTTAGCATAATAATATAACGTCAGCATATAACATAGCATAACATAATGAAGGTAGCTGTGGCTGTTATAAAAGAAGAAAGAGAATCTCAAATCTAAGAAGAGGCACGTTGAATTGGATTTTACATAAATACTGCCACAAAAATGACTGGGAAACAAGCCGATGGGAGCTAACAGTTTCATAAACAGTAACCAGGTCAAAAAGGCGGAACAGTTTTTCAGTATAACAGCTGATTCACCCGTTAGACTGCGGCCGTATTCAGTAATATCGTCTACTTCGTTGTGCTCAGAAATCCATCAGAACTCTGTTAGTAAACACTTCGGATATTCGGTTATTCGCGATCCATCGATTCGGCTTCACCAGCTCTGCGCGAAACATCGACGCTCCTGTACCAGGTACAATAATCTCGATAGTGTCAGTAGGATAAAGTTTTAAGGTTGGTGCTGGCATCCATAGGTCTTTCACTTCGTATCCGCGTGGATTGGTAAGACCAAGATTTTTCAGTGTGAACTGGACATCCTGAAAAAATAAGGAGTTTCTCTTTTAGTGCTATTGATATATTTGAAGCATAAGAGAAAATGAATTGCTCAATTTGTCGATATTACCAGTGCTTCAGAAAATCGACATGAACGGAATTAGTCGAACGTGAGGTTATCATCTTGTTGTTCTCGTTCTAGTACCCCCTAACTGCCATCATTTGAATTCTTTCAACGGTGATAAATTAAGCACGGATGTGATTTACAAGCTTTAAATATTCTGTCTATCTTGTTTACTCCATACAAAGGAATTATGAGCTCTAATCGCACCTATATCTGTTTCTGAAATAAACTAGCAATGGTATGAAAACTAGGGTTAAAAAATTTAAACTAATTCAACGAGAAAAATAGCAGTTGTGTAGTAGAGCTCGAAGGGAATAATGTCAAAGAAATTCCCTACTCTATATGTGAAACAAGCAAACAAACAAACATTCGGTGGGCTTAAGTGCACGTCCACTGGGTTCTTCAGTAACACTTACATTTTTTTTGTTGTTACGATTGAGGAACCCGAGAGCGAAGGAGAACTCTCCGTCGTAGACGGGTGTAATCGGCTTCACGTACGCGCTGACGCCGGAGATCTGAAGAGGTGAAGCTTACACAGGATCAGTGAAAATACCTATCACAAGTTTTTTCTGCTGTGCTTCGAAGGTGTTCCTGCCACCTACTACGTTAAAAACGTGGAAGCGAGACATCTCAACATCAGAATTACTGACTAGAAAAACCACTATTTGATACCACACAAATAAAAAGATCAAATTCATTTGATTCTTTCATATGTGAAAGTAATATTGGAAATGCTTAAGGATGTAAGAAGCTATAGCTTTGATGTACTCTGGCCGCAAACGAAATGCACAAAGTTGTTGCCTCGTTTAAGTTAAATCTCTGATTTCATCACTTGTGAGGAGTTGTGTTTAAGCAAGCCTTTTTAATGGTTAGGGAAAAAAGAAGAGCGCTTAGAGGTGCAGTGCAATGCACAAATGGTCGCTAGTTCGATTTAGCCCTAGGGCAAATAAAAAGTCCGCAGTCAAACCATCAGGTCGGAAAATTAAATAGTTCAATACTTGATTTTGCAGGCCCATAAACACTAAAGAGTCTTTTTGTTGGAAACCTCAAAACGACCTAAAGGGCTATTCCAGAATCGCACGGACAGCCCACTTGACGAACATTGAACCATATTAAGAAGACCCATTAGTGGAAGATGGATGCGATACAATGAAATGATGTCTATCTAGTATGAAGTGTGAAGTCGGGCCATATAAGTAAATGGACGAAAATTTCATGCTAACATTAGCGACCAGGCGTCCCATTTTTCCAATAGGATCCTGATCGATAGCGATTACGTCACGATTCAGGAGGATTTTTTGAAATTCTGGGGCTATCGTTCGAAGATCGTTGGACATGATCAGTGGAGCCGACCATATTGACCTGAAATTAAATGATATAAGTGACAAGGGAAAGATGGGAGCAAAAAAGTAGAGAAATCGAATGGGAGAATAGTGCTCACCAGATTGTCATCTGAGCGATAGCCATGTTCACAGTGATTCCCGAATTTCCGATGACTAGCTGAATTACTATCATATTGGTATCGAATTCTAAGGTATTAATTGGTAAGAGAGAAACGGAACTATACCTTTTCAATAGTTTTTTGCGTCTATCTTATCCATTTCTCTCTACTATGCTTCTCGTGCAGTATTTTCAATAAATTAACTAGGAACAAACCATGTCAGGGTCGTGCCAATGTCCAGGACCGTGTGTCGGAATGTGTCTGTTCTGATTGTGATCATAGTAGTCGATTATACTTAATATAGATTTCCATGAACTGTTGATGTCGTCAAAGTTTCGCCACAGATTGCAACTTTTTCCAATAAGATTGTAATCGACCTTGGGAAAACAAACGTTAAAACATGTTCAACACTCACAACGATGCTAAGATATTTGCAAAACTCAGAAATGCGTGTCTGCGGTAGGGAACGAACGCGCTTTTACCCTTTCTGGGGGCGAACGCGTTTACCACCACACCATGTGTCCTTCACTTCATCTATCTCTCAGCTAGTTTTCTATCTGCCAGTGCCATTAGCAATTACCAGTTAACGGGGTTGATCTGAGGACCTCAAATCTGCAACGAGCCCAGTTAAGCTGGGCCTGTAGTTATAATCACAATTTTAACTTATTGCTTAGTGCTTAGTCTTTTTAATGGCAGAGTGTATTGCGAAATATAACTCCAACGTTGCTGAGATATTTGCAAAACTCTGGACCGCCGGTGTCTGTGGTAGGGAACGAACCCTTTCCGGGGCTAACTCGTTCACCACCGCACCATGCAGGTCCTTCATTTCGCCTTTTCTCATGTTCAACAATTCCAATTTTCTGATCACTGCTGTCAGTTGGAACATCCGATATGGTTCTAATTATTTTGGACGCACAAACGTTAAAACAATAAGTCCTATGCAGCTTAATTGGAGTCATTTTGTTCCTGTTGAAATGAATTGAGTAGGTCAAGAAGGTCTTTCTGCATACGTCTTAAAAATAAACGACACCACAATGAAAGAGATGATTTCAGGCTACAAAACATTTCCCAATTCCATAGTGACACATCACCATTCCTGTCCCAATAAAGGATCAGGTGAGCCAAAAGTGCGGATTAAGCGTGTAGAATGTGCATATGACAGTTCACATTCCAAAATGCCTAACAAGATATCGTTTTCTACGGCTTAGATGCTCCAAGTGCTAATCATTCGTCATTCACGACAATGAATCCTCGCCTTGATAACATGAACAGTTCACACGTTATTGCACTTCGCAACACTGCCTGCGTTGAAAGAAAACAGGTAAGTTCTTGAACAATTTGATTCCCTGTGATTCGCTACTCTTTATTACAAAGTCTTTAAAAAGCGTAAAAGAAGAGGATACAGAAAGATATACTTTTGAACCCACCTGCTCTGGCTTGTCGATAAGGTATGCCGGCCAACTACATGAATACACAATTGGTCTTCCAGTGAGATTCAGTTCTCTTTCCATGCTCGGATAACCTAGAGAAATACACTTCTGCTACATCAAAAAATTTAGTTTGTTTTACAAATTACTTTCATTTAATACCGCTGCTCTGTTGACAAGTCGTCGCCCTAGCAGATTGAGCACTGAACCCGAACTGTGTGTAGATCGAGTCACGGATGGCTTTCCCCATTGATCGAAAATTTTTTGAATAGTGACCTAAGTGTGGGTAGAGTGTGTAGATAGTCCTAGATAGAGCGCTTCCTAACTCTACAGCTGTAAACGAAATTATCCGTACGCAGTGAAAGTTGAGCACTTCATTTGCTTGCTACTGGAAGAACTTCCCATACACGATGTTAGTACTACGAAACCGAGAATGAAGTGGTGAAATAAATTGGAATTTTACAAGTAAAATAGCACGATAAACTCAAGAATAATCAGAAATTGACATGAGTGATGGCAACACATTAAGGACATGAAGATTCAAATTAGGGTGAGCAGAGCCACTGTCTCTGCACGGTGCTAGAGATGTAGGAAACCAACTCGTGCATCCGCCGGTGAGAAAATTGGGTTCTATCTCGGCTTGAAAACAACCCGCAAATACAGTGCTCTAGAGCTCTCAGCGTTGATCAATCCCTGAGGGGTGCGCTATGTATTCGACTTCATTAAAGATCGTTTGGAGGCGATCGAATGCATATCTGGCCTTTAGAGAACTCGCGGTGGCCTGCCGATATATCGAGCCAGTGCTACCATCCTCCCATGCAAGCGTGGTGTCAATTTGCCGGCCGATCCCAGAGGCATGGAAAATGGAACTTTGAAGAAATTGGATTCAGTGAAAGGTTTTACCTTATTGATGGATTTGGACTGTTTCTGAATTTATGAAGCAGATTAAACAATGGCCGCTTTTTGTAACTTGCTTATTAGAAAGAAGTAAATGAAGTTAGAAAAAACGTAGAGTCCCAACCTCCTTATCCATTACGATCTCTTCAGTTTTCTATCTCTGACTACCGTACTATGAAGTATGGGAAATGGGTAAGCGATTTTTTCGTAGAATTTCGTGCATACTATGAAAAATGGTCGATTTCATTTCTTTCGGGTTTTTGACCTTTCGAGATCGTTAAGTGGTCAACAAGGGAGTAAAAATCCAGTCTACATATTAACCAGTGGTGGGATTCAGTGTAGATTCACTACGCTGCGAACTTACAGTCAAGTGCGAATGTAATAATGCATCTATAACAGACTCACTAACACCATACACTTCTAAACGTCTCCAATTTTTTTGTATCTTTAAATTTCCTAGACATATTACAACCTTGGCGCATGAGAGCCGTGTCAACATTGCATCCATCGAGCTTCAAATAATCTACTTCCCACTGGGCAAAAGTCTCAGCGTCCACCTAAAAGTAGGAATAGACGTGACCGTGCTAGTGCAAAACTTCCTAATTTTTCTCACTTTCAGGTGACCCAAACTACCCGGAAAACCTGCACATGTCTTTGTTCCATAGTCGCCGTAAATGCCAAATTTTAGTCCTCTTGCATGCATCTGGAATAACATTTATAACGGATATATGCTTTCTAAGACCCTAATATTTGGTTCTCTGGGTTTCACTTTCCTACAAGAAGCGCAGCACTCTTCAGGTTACCTTTTCCAATTTTCACAAAAGCATATAAATAACCGTATGATTTGTCGCGAGCTAAACAAGTCTTACATATCTGGATAATGCGTGCATGCCATTTGGAAAACGGTAGCGGTCGGGTAACAGTCGCCCACTATCTTTGTCTCTTTCTCGTTCCATCCAGCAGTCGTCAACGTGCACATTCACATATCCGGCTTCTCGGTAGCCTCCTCTCACTGAAATACAGCAGTAGATTGCAAGAGACTGCTAATGACATTGGACAGGAAAAGCCGAAGTCTGCATACCGAGAGCATCGGCTATTTCCATGTAGAGGTTCTCATTGATACACGACTTAGGATGTTTGACGCAGTCCATTTCGCAATAGAATGCGGTCCACGACATCCAACCCATTGGTGGCGTCCTTTAGTTAAAGATGAACACTTAGTCAACAAATTGGAAAAAACATCGTTAGCTTTATTAAGGATATTGCGGATATTGTTGAACTGAACACAATATATTAAAGAGCATTCAGTCTGTTTTCATTTCTCATTACAGTTCTGATTCTTTTTCTTAAATCATCGAACTTCTCGAGCACTATTGCACCGGCATAATTATTCGCAGAATAGAAAACTGTTGCTGAAGGACGAAAATATAAAAAGTTCTACCACCGATTCCTTAATTAGAGCTACTAAGTGGGGATTTCTTCGCCAATAGTTCTTTCCAAGTTTTCCTCATGGGCAATTTCTAGGAGAAATTCGACAATATGGTCCCTCGTTCTGTATCACCTTCGATTATGTTATCATACTTTGCGACTAAAGTCCAAATATGCGTGCCTTCCACTGCGACGATGCCTAACTTAGCGTCGGATAAACGAATAGTACAGCTCGTCTGGATTAAAAGTAAACAGGTAACTCATAACAATTCGAAACAAAAACCAACGAAAACTAGTCGAAGAATGGAAGTTGTATACCGCAAATTATGCCGATTTTTGCACGTTGCTAACTAGAGCACTAGAGTGATTAAGAACTTGGCAAAATTGTAGAACAGATTCTGCTCCAATCATCACGGGTGTATATGTTAGCATTGATGTTATACGTCACTATACGTTAGGTCTTTGTAAATTCTATTAGTCAGTCAACAATCATATCAGTAAAAATAAAGGATAAAGCTTTCGGCGTTGATCAATTCATGAGGGATGCGCCATGCATTCGACTTCACTAAGCATCATTTGGAAGTGATTGAATGCATATTTGGCCTTTAAAATGATTCGCGGTGGCCTATGATGTATCGAGCCAGTGTTGCTATCCTCCCAGACAAGTCTGTTATCAATTTGCCGACCTCGGAGGGATGGAAGGCTTGGTGGGTCATGGACCCGGAGATCGATTCCACATGTGTGTAGCAGAGGCGCCTCCGAACACTGCGCCACACGCCCCTAATCATATCAGTAGCTAGAAAAATAAACATCAGCCGAAACATCGCTGAGTGTGACGGTGAAGAAATTCGTGTTGCAAGTAGTGGCAGGCCTCCTCCGTAACTATGTCGAGATCGAAAGTTATTTGTGTAATTCAATATGTAAGGTCAAATAAGATAACTTCAGCGACGCTGAGATATTTGCAAAACTGCGGACCGTAGGTGTCTGCGGTTCGGAGTTTTGCAAATATCTCAGCATCACTGCAGTTATATTTCGCAATATACCCTGCCGTTAAAAAAAGAGTAGGCAATAAATAATAAGTTAAAATTCAAATAAGATAAGAAATTGTNAGGTGTCTGCGGTGGGAAACGAACGCGCTATTGTCCTTCCCGGGTTGTAACGCGTTCACCACCACACCATGAGGGTCCTTCGTTTCGCCTACCTCTCAGCTAGTTCTATCGATCTTTTGCCATCAGCAGTCACCCGTCAGCGGGATTGAAGGGCAAAAGCGCGTTCGTTTCCCACCGCAGACACCTGCGGTTCGGAGTTTTGCAAATATCTCAGCATCACTGCAGTTATATTTCGCAATATACCCTGCCGTTAAAAAAAGAGTAGGCAATAAATAATAAGTTAAAATTCAAATAAGATAAGAAATTGTACGACAACCGCGTGTAAGCTCAACACAACAAGATCTTGTAAGATAAATGTCGCTGAGCTCAACGTTTAAAACAGCAGTAAAACTTGTGGTAATAGATTTGTCTGAAACACCTCACTAATTTGCGTGCCATTCTTGCATAGGGACAATGCTAATCTACCATCTACTGTTCCAATTTTAGTATGTCTTCAGAATGAGCATATTTTGGCCAGTGTCGCAGAGACAGATATGCAGGATAATACAAGCAAGACAATGCCTCGACTCCATACATATGCAACCAAACCACTATCCTTCCGAGGTGAGGAAATTAGTACCAGACTGTCTAAGTGCCTGCAATGTGTTCCCTTTTATCCACATAGACTGGCTGATGTCTCTGGTAAAGACCTGGTATTACCCCTATATGGCTATCCTAAGATTCCAGGAAGAATCGGCTCCACGAGCGTTCAACGGCATTCGCAAAGGAGACCTCTCAGGTCCTCAAGCAGCAGCTGAAACCACACACGAATTCGAAGGCATAGGAATGATGGATGTGGGGAAACTAAGGAAACGAAAATTGTGGGTGATGCAAATTGGAAATTATTTTTAAATATCACCTACGCTAAGGGATTGTAGTAAAATGAGGAAAATGTTCGTGATCTATTCAGAAGACAAGCGAAACGAAGGACCCACATGGTGTGGTGGTGAACGCATTAGCCCGGAAAGGGTAATAGCGCGCTCGTTCCCCACCGCAGACACCCGCAGTCCAGGGCTTTGCAAATATCTCAGCATCATTGTGATCTAATCAAAGTAGTTGGAAGGAGCAACCAAATCTCAACTGTTACATACATAAGCTCACAAACTGTTCACGCGATACAGAATAACGTGCAAAAAATACTATTTTCATAAGAGGCAAATGTAAGCACTGTTGAAATTAACAGAATCATACGTGGATTATTGTTGTTTGGAATTACTTCCTCTCCGAGCCTCAACACTTTTCTAGTTTCAAATTTTTACCTGGCCAACCCATTATCAAGAGCAGAAACTGTTTGAAGAGACACCGCAAGAAACAAGAGCATTCTGAAAACAACGAAGAAGGCTAACTGTTTGTTAAAAACTTGGGCAACGAATATTTAGATACAATAACTTAGAACGGTGAAACTAGTCGACATACGAGAAACAGCATTAAAAATAGCAAGTAGATGATAAGTGAAAAATGTTAATATTTAATCACAACGATGCTGACCGCATTCACAAGTCAACGGGTTAGCTAGAAAACAAGCTAGGGTAAATGTAACGCAAGTGCCTCAGTGGTGAAGTGTGTAATACGCGAGCGCCCGGAAAGGGTAATCGTGGTTCGATGTGGCGGCCCGGAGTCCAAGTTTTGCCAATATTTCAGCATCGTTGTGGTTGTACTTCACGTGATAGCTTGCCGTGAAAAAGTAAAGTAGGCAACAAAAGCAAAAACAAGCAAAAGGCTAACACTGCTAATATTTAAAACAACAACTAAGAAATTGGCGGACGATTCGAGGTCACGCGAAAGCTTAACGTTAAACCCGTAAACTTCACCATAATATATTCCATTTATAAAAGGCATCACTGAGTAAGGATGCCTCATTCGAGGAGATGGCTCACTGAAGAAGACCTAACTCGACACGAAGGCGAAGCTGCCACGTCGAGGCGAATAACAAGCGAGGACCATCGACTCGGATCATCGGCTCTGAGGAAGACGAAAACGTCGAAACGTTAGCCGAAAATAAACATCATTATCAACCTCGTATAAGTTCATCAAAGAAAGAATGCATATTGATTAGTGATACCGAGGTTAAAGGAAAGTCGGTTTCGAAATATATTCCATTTAATTGGCTGCCAACTGTTTCACATTATTTTATCACTTATCCATCTATGATAGTCAGTAGATTGTAAATAGGACTATGTCTTTCAAACTATCTCACCATATCATTCTATAATCCTATTTTTAGCAACT